CAGCTAGCATCATGATTTCAAGCTCCATCCATGTGCCACAAATGGCATAGGTTTGTCTTTTTGATTGCTGAGTAGTATTCCATTGTGTGTATATACTACATCTTCTTGATCTATTCATATGTTAGGATGTTTCAACTATAATAAATAGTGCTGCAATAAATATGGGAGTACAAGTTTTTTTCAAACTAGTTTTTTTAATTTTGTGGACAGATGCCTGAGAGTGGAATGACTGGGTCAAATGGCAGATCCATGTTTACTATTTGAGACGCGTCCTCACTGCTCTCTGTAAGGGCTGGACCAGGCTGCCTCCCACCCACAGCGACTGTGGCCCACTGCCCTGCATGTGAACAGCATCCTGTCAGAGTCAGTTCCTTTGCACCGTCTGCTTCTTGGCAGGTCCCGGTGACCCTCAACTCTGACTGGAGAAAGCTGATTAGGAGATAAATGAGCAGATGATGAATGCAAATAGAGTTTAATGGTAACAGTGACAGGGTCTTCACAACAAATTTGGTGATGTATCTGTGACCAGAAATCTGCCATAGGAAATTTAATTCGTGTTTATATTGATGAACTTATGATAAAATTGGTTTTGTGATATATCATTTCTCTTAAAGTTGCAGTTTCCAAGAATATATCCATGATAGTAAGTGAGAAATTAATGTTTTCACTATACTCTGACACCTCACCCTGATTTCCTTTAGTTGGGAATAGTAGATTAATAAATACATATTGCATGAGCTAGATGAAGAATATGGTCTCACAAAAATAATGACAAGTTGAGAAAGACAGACAGGGAAATGCTAAAATAGTTTGGAGAACACGCAAGAAGAATTTTCATATCCTGAGACTCACCTCCATTAGGGGGTCAGACCTGGGTTTGCATGAATGAGGTAGAATAGAACAAGTAAAGCCCGTAGGAAAATGTGTGAGTGCATTGTCTGAACACACCGTGGACATTGATTAACAGTTCTCGTCCATCAGTTGTGTGTACCTGTGTACGTGCGTGTGTCATTTCTGTATGTCTGTGCGGGTAGGTGAGCTTCATCACAGAGTAAAGGCAGGTCTGACTTTAGGCTACAGTAAGAAGACTCTGGCATCCATTGCATACAAGAGAGACATATGTAAAAGGTCAGTTCTTGCTAATGAGGGAGAGACCATGTGAGTGAGGCCCCAACTGAAGGGCCAGGCCGGGTGGAGAACAGTTACCTTGGACACCAGGGCCCCCAGGCCGACGGACCCGCTGTCCCTCCACTCGCCTGTAGTGGGTTTGACAGTGGGATCCTGATCTGAGTGTTGGTTTTGCACCTGTTCCCCCTTACGTGACGACACTCTGTTACATGATGCAGTAGTGAATGAGATTGTCCATTCTCTGGTTTTTCATTTTTGTGGAATTGATTCTTTTCCTTTTTCTTGGGCTTATATGCATACAAGAGCTGAGGTACAGGCCAGGGATGGGGGTGAGAGGATTCACCAGAGACAGAGTGGGGAGCAGAACAGGCAGATCTACTGAAATACACTGCTGAGGGGAGCAGCAGGAGAGACAGAAGAGGTCTGCCACGCCATGTGGGTTTCTCCCTGGCCGGCTGGGAATTGAACTTGGGGATCGAACTCGTGTTGCAGAGGCTGCAGATTATTCATAGTGCAGTGCTTAACCCCTTGCGCCACCAGGGAGGCCCTTAGACTTTGGATTTTGATCTCTCTTTGACACAGATAAACTGGTCCTTGTTTTGCTCCTTGTCCAACAAGCAGTGGCCTCCCCAGACAATATTCCATACAATCCTGCTTGTGCCCCAACGGTCTGTCCCTTTCCTCCGTGCTGTTTATTCCTGAGACCTTCATATCCCACATGCGCTATTTCCTTGTGCTCAACCCTCTCTGTCATAACGTAACATCCAAATGAGCAGGCACTGCAGCTAGTTTGCTCACTTTTGTTATTTGATTGTATAGAGACTATGTCAAGGAATTTAATTCATAAAATAAATGAAACAGCAGGAAAAATAAAGCCTGGTTAAATATAGCGGGATCAGCATGAATGCAATAAGCACAATGGTGCACAAATCTAAGACCTTGTGAAAAAAGATATAACAAGACTGAATCACATCCACTGGTTCTCTAAAACATAAATTGGCAAAGACTTAAAATGAAAAATAGTAAATCACACTCTTTCCAAGCAGTGAAAAATGCAGATCCAAGATTACTTCTACCTAGATAAACAAAAATGGATTCCAGTATGCTTGAGGGAAATATCATTTGTCATTTGAATACAGAAGAATGTGATCCAGGAGAGGGAAGGTGGGGGCTGTTTTTATGAACAAATTGTCTGCCCAGTGTCCCTTTGTCTCTCTTGAATGCAGAAGCTTTTCAGTTTATGTAGCACCATGTGTGGCTTCCTGATTTTCATGTCACAAGGAAGTCATTGCCTATGCAAATACCAGAGAGTGCCTAAATATGTATTTTCCAGAGAAGACACCTAGATGGGCAGCAAGCACATGAGGGGATTGTCAGGATCACTCACCAGGGAAATGCAAATCCTAACCAGGAGGTGTCACCTCACAGCTGCTGACAGAGCAACCAGGGAGATGACCAAAGGTCAGCAGTGAGGGTAAGGGAGCAGAGAACCCTGGGGTGCTGTCAGTGGCTAATACACCGCTTCAGCCATGGTGGAAAAGAGAATAGAGGTGCCTCCAATAGCAAAGTTAGACCCCCCCATGATCTGTTCATACATGTACAAAGGCGATGAAAACATGACACCGAAAGCTATCCACATCGCTTGTTTATTGAGCCAAAATTTAGAAATAACCTATGAGGCCATCATCGGATAAATAAAGAAAATAATGTGTACACGTATAGATATAAAATATATATGGGCTCTCTCTCTCTCTCTCTCTCTCTATATATATATATATATATAATATTGATCTTAATTTTCCACATAAATATACATGGATTTTGTAAAACTTACAATGTGTAATACACACACAGGATTTTGTGTGGTTGTAACACACATTCTATGTAATAATATATGAGCTACTATTCAGTCAAGAAAAAGGACACCCTGTCTTTTGCAACAACACAAGCACCTAAGAACATTCTGCTCCATGACAGAAGTCAGAGAGCTACCCATCCTGGAAATCACTTCTGTGTGTGGTCCTTACACAGACTTGAATCGGTTACATGGATCGGGGTGGGGAATTTGGTAGAAGTTATTTCAGGATACACACTTGAAGCTGCTGGATGAATACGGTTCTGGAATCTACTGCATAGTGCCATAATCAACAGTACTTTCTTATAACCTTCCAAGTGGCCGAGAGATTATTTCTGAATCGTTTTGTGACAAAAATGAATATGAAATGCATGTAGTGATGGAGGGGGTAGCTAGTACTACAGTGGTAATCATATTGCAATATAGAAATATATCAAATCAAAATTTTTTTCTCAGCTTACACACTGTTACGTTTCAAATTAAATCTCAATGAAATTAAATTAAATCTCAATGAAAATACATCAGATCAAATCAAAATGTGAGATCTAGTAATGAGGAAAAACAGATGTTACATGAACACAATGTGTATATATAATAGGTTATTACTACTAAGATTGCAAGAAAACAACCTATGTTTAAAATACATAATGGGACACAATAGGCTCTACTGAGCCCCACACAAAATTTAAAATCTTCAACATTTTTTCCAACAATCTCCACGTATGTGGGGGAATTGAGTGCAAAGCACTTATTTTGAAAAACTCCAATTCTGTTTGAATATTTGAATCACAAACCAGAATCAAAAATCAGAACCTGTACATCAATGAACACTAAGAATGAGCACAATTTATACTTGAAAAAAGCAAAATTCTAACAAGCAAAACTGTGCAGATTGGCCAGTACTAGAGTGGTTGCAAAGTAAAACTCTTTAGTCTCCCCCAACTGACATTAAAGAAAAAGGATGACTTCTGTGAGCACCTGCTATGAGGGAACACTACACACTGTTCCTCTCCTCAGCTGCTCTGTGAGGTCATCTGCCCCCATTACCCTGGATCTCTCCAACACAGAGGCCCTGCTCATCACCCCACCACTCCCATCAGCCCCTTCCCATTAAACACTTTATTTCCTGCTGCCTCAACTCCAGATCTACTTGGCTGTGTCCTGACTTTGCTGGAACCACGTTAAGCCTCCCACTCCCCCTTCAGTCTCATCCTAACAGATTTTCCTTCCTGTCTCTTCACTGTCAGCACCATCTCTGTATTGTTGAGAGCAGTGGACAGTTTTGAGTCACAAATTAAGTAAATTTAATTATGAATTGAAGAGTCATTCAAGCAAGAGAACAAGGGAAACTCTTGTCTCTGGGCCTGTTTTGATCTCTGTGACCTGAGGCAGAACTTCTCAGTTTGCATTTTCTCTGGATCTTTCCCAAGTGCCTGCTGGGCACTGAGACTCACCTGGGTGGGGGCTGTGAGGGGGGCTTCTCCATGGAGCCGTCTGAGTCCCTCCTGGACGCTTGAGTATGGATCTGGGCTGTGTCACAGACAGGATCTCAGGAGGGCACGAAGGGCTGGTCCCTGGGCAGAGGTCGGGCTCCACAGACAGGAATCATGTCCTCTCTGGTCCCGGGTTGGACAGTCTGAGGGACCGAGGGAGACAGGGTATTTACCACCCTCCACGCGGTCTCATTAGCCACAGCTCACTCTCCTGCTCCAAGCTCTGAGCTCATGATTTCCCTGTGGACACTGGACTGGAGAAAAGGAAAGTTTCTTAATGATTCTCTGATCCTAAGGGACTAGATTAGATGTCAAGTGAATCCAATTTTGGTTACTCCTTTTTCATGAACTCCCGCACCTTCCAGAGCTGTAACCACCCAGCACCTTGTTCTCACTCTGTGTTCAAGTTTTCCAAATGTCCGTGCCTGAGGAACTCATCTTGACTTAATGCCCTAGATCATTAATGCACAAATATTTGGGGAGCACAGACCCTCCATATGTGCAATAGTGCTATTCCACTCTAATTAAGCAGAGAACTGAGTTCCTTTATATAAAACCTTAGACACCACACTCCTTGTTTTCATGGCACTTTTGCAAAAGCAAATGGGAATTTCTTTTTTGTTTTTACTGTGATGTGACTGCAGCAGCCTTATGTTTGAAACTCCAGAAGGAAACGCCTGTGTTCCTAACCAGCTAATATGCAGGTCCAAAGAGTGAAGATTTTTGTAACTGCCACACTCACTCTGAAGCCTGTGCACCTCCTCGGCCCCCCAAAGAGTAGGCACATGTCCTGCTTAGCAGCACAGGAAAGTGCTAACATGCTGTGCCGCTGCCAGCACAGGGGCAGCTCCAACAAAAGTCCACTCCTGATGCCAGGCATCACCATCGTCACAGGTCACCATCGTCATCCCAAACAGCAGTTTTCTGAGCAACCTGTAAATCGTGCCCAGACTTCCCTGCCAAAGCGGGGTCAGTGACAGCCCCCAATGAGGCAGGAGCAGGCGTGAGAGTGAACTCCAGTGAGGGTCTCCCATTGCTCTTCTATCAGCCAGAGGAATGTTGGACACTTATATAGTGGACAATTCAGCACAACAAAATATTTATGAAAGTTGGTGAACACTAATAAATGAAGTGAAATTTTCAAAGCTCGGAAGGCCAGAGAGGGAGAAAGTTCTGAAGGGGAGTAAGGGATGGTGGCATGCAAAAAAGAAATGAACTCAGTGATCAGTTACTTCATGAAGTATAATCTGTGTTCCCTTCATCCCATCACTGTGTGACCTCAGGCAACCTGCTCATCTCTCTCAGATCCTCTGGTGCCAAAGAGAGAAGATTGAGGTACCTAGAATGGAGTTGGTATAAGGATTAAACCAGAGGGGAATTGATCAAAGGTGGCATCAGAGAATCCTTGCTTTGCTCCTGAAAGTTAACCAGCACCCACAAGATCCAATGGGTTAGTGTGAAAAAGGAGCACCCCTTGGACATTAGAAACCAGCATAGTCTGTACCAGAAGGGACATTGAAAGGTTTCATGCTTCATTAAACAGGAGGTGGGTGGAGAGAAATGCCTGGAGTTCATGATCTTGGGTGGGAGACTGCCTTGGAAACACACACTGCCTGGTTGACAGTCCCGGGGAGGGGAGAGCTCAGTGGTCTGAAGGAACACACAGTGACTGAGAGCAGATATGGGCGTAGATGCTGCGGTGCTCTCAGTGGGTCCCCTATGTTGGTAACAGGGACAGGACAATAGGCGGTATTCACCCTGACCTCACCCCTCAGATACTGACCTTGCAAGGCTCATTGAGAGCGCACAGTCTGCAGAGACTTGTGTCTGGTGCCACAGAGAGATGGGATGTTGGTGGGGTACTATTTGCAATAGCCAGCTCATGGGAGCACCATAAGTGACCTAGGACATGTGAGTAGGTTAAGAAGATGTGTGTACGTATGTACAGTGGAATACTATTCAACTGTAAAAAGATGAACTCATGCCTTTTATGATATTACAAGTGGAACTGGAGGGTATAATGTTAAGCCAAATAATTCAGAAGGAGAAAGACACATGGTTTCACTCATGTGTGGATTATAGAGAAACCAGAGTCAGATAACATAAACCAAACCAAAACAAAAGCCTATAAATCTGAATGCAAAAATTAGGCTACCAGGGCCTCCCCTGGTGACACAGCAGTTGAGCGCTGGGCTGTGAAGCTGCCCGCAGCCTCTGCAGCGCCGGTTCAATCCCCAGCCGCCAGCAAGGGTCCCACATGGTGCGCAGACCTCTCCTGCCGTGCCAGCTGCTCCCCTCAGCAGTGTACTTCGGTCCTTCTGCCTGCTCTGCTCCCTGCTCTGGCTCTGGTGAGTTCTCTCACCCTCCCGCGCTTCTGACTGTACCCAGTGCTTGTATAAATAAATAAATCAATCTTAAAAAAAAATTAGGCTACCAGAGGGCGGAGTGCATCGGAAGGGAGGAATGGAGCGCGGTGGACTGTGGTGGGGGCTATGGGTGCATTGGTGGTGGGTGTGGTGTGGTAACATACACCTGAAGAGGTGGGCTCCTGTATTTCTGAATCATATACAGTGTTGTAAACCAATATAACCCTGATTAATAAATAAAACAAAGGTACTAGGAAAACTAGCTTTGATTTTTATATCCTTTCAAAATATTTGAATATTAGATAACAATTGGGCAAAAGACTACTTATTTCAAGTAAACGTGTTTATTCCATAAACACAATGGACAATATACAATAATTCAATGCGTAGATATCAAGCATGAAAAATAATTAATTTACATAATAATGAAATCAATGATTTAAAGTTTTCCTCCCTGTACTTAAGGTCATCTGTGATGCCAAGACCATATATGGCCAGCTTATTCAGCTTTGCCTTCTGATGTGGACTGCATAGGTACAGTGTATGGTATTTTTGGTTTTTTTAATTATATTTTTTCAATTGAGATAATGTTGGTTTATAACACTTTATATGATTTAGGAGTATAGGTTCACACCTACCACACCCATAGCAAAGTCCACTCCCCATCCCTTCTTGCCTTTGCTTTACTCAACTACTCCCCCTCTGGTAGCCTCAGTTCTGTAGATGTATTTCTATGGAATTTTTTTTTTTTTTTTTGGTTTAATTTTGATAAGTGATGATGAGCATTTTTTCATGTGCTTGTTGACCATCTGCACATCTTTTTTTTGGAGAAGTGTCTACTTGGTTCTTCTGGCTATTTTTCATTGGGTTATTTGGTTTAATGGTGTTGAGCTTTTGAATTCTTTGTAGATATTATTGCTTTGTCAGAGATATGATGTGCAAATATTTTCTTCTATTTGGTATGATGTCTTTATGCTCCCAGATTTCAAAATATATTACAAAGCTATAAAAATCAAAACAGTATAATATTGGACTAAGAGTAGACACACAGACCGATAGAATAGAATTAAGAGCTCAGAAATTAACTAGGTGTATGGCACTGAATCTATGACAAAGGAACCAAGAATATGTGCTGGAGAAAGGAAAGGCTCTTTAACCATGTTGTTGGGAAAACTAGAAAACCATATGCAAAATAATGAAACTACACCACTATCTCTCACCTTTTATAAAAACTAAATTTAAAATGTATTAAAGACTGGTCGTAAGACTTGAAAGCATAAAATTCATAGAAGAAAACAGGTAAAGGACATAACAGCATTCACTTCAGAGATGTCATTGGGCACTCTGGCCAGGGGGCAAAAAGTGAAAATAAACAGACTGACTAAGTCAAACTAAAAATTTCCTGCACAGTGAAAGAAACCATCACTATTTTTAAGGACATAAAAAGAATCCACATTTATACACTTTATAGAAAAAAATGAAAGACCTTGATATTGTTCATTCCAATCTCTTTTTGGTTATGACAAATTTACAAACAGGGAGATATTTTGTTCAGAACAATAGAGGAGTAACAATTATAGGCAGCACTGGAATTTTTAAGCAGTGACAAGAAAATAATATAACACACCCTCCAATCATTCACCTCAACACATAAGCCCCCTTGCATAGACACCAATCTACTATACTTCCATGTATAGAGGTACAGTATAAAAAAGAAATACTTTACATAGCAATTAATGAGTGATTTAAAAATTTGCTTCAAATTAGGTTAAAAATAACACATAATATAATCCAAGTTGGAAAAGAAGCGAAACTCATTATTTGCAGGTTACATGACAATATACACAGAAAACCCAAGACACTATCAAAAAACTACTAGAACTGATAAATTAATATAGTAAAGTGGCAGAATATAAAATCAATACACAAAAATCTATTGTGTTTTTATACACAATGAATAGAAGAGAAATAAGGAAACATCCCATTTACAATAACCCTAGAAAGGATTAAATATGTGGAATAATTTCAATCCAGGGGCTGAAGGTCCTAACCACTGAAAAGTATAAGTCACTATGAAAGATATGGGAAGCCACAAAGAAATGGAAAGATACCCCGTATTTGTCAATTGCAAGAATAATTCTTAGATTCTATTAAAACCTGACTGGTTATCAGAAGGGCAGAGGTGGGATGGGCAGAGCAGGGCAGGGGAAGGAACGTGACAGGGGCCTGGCGATTTGGGAGAGGGTGAGTGAGTCATGTGCAGAATTATCTAGTTATGCAAATCAGTGGTAAATCATTAAGATTTGAGAGGAAAAGGGATTAAATATTTCTAAAAGAAAATAACTAAATATACACACAAGAAAATGTGATCAACCTTATAGTCAAAGAAATTCAAGGAAAGAATAAATCTTAGCTGAGGACTTAATTCTAAAGCTACAGATTCCAGAGATAAAATATTTCTTGAATGGAAAAGATTCTTTGATAATTGAATATTTACACGTTAGACAATTCCTATTTCTTTGGAGAATTAACTATTATTCTAATAAGTTTTGACAAGAGGCAACATAACATGATTCGTTGTCGAGCTGTCTGATTTAGACCATCCTAGCTCATCCTCTTTGTACCTGTGACCTAGATACAAGAAACACTTACTTCCTCATCTGTATCTAAGGGAAATGATACTCATCACATAAAAATGTTCTTAGAAAAATTAAATTTGATAATGTATAAAAAAACTTAGTAGGTACATATCAAGGACAGTTATTTTTATCTAAATCACTATCAATAACATTTCTATCTCAAGAAGTTTTGTTAAATCAATACATGTCGCCGCCTGTCCATCCATTCTTCATTCCATTGAAAGTAAGACGTGGACTAGGCATTGCAGTTTCAAAGATGGGTAAGCTATAGTGCCACAACTGGAGGAATATATATCATGCTGAGTAGAGAAATTTAGCAAGGTTAACGTTACTAAAGGGAAATTGAATTGGATTAAAAAGAAGCAAATATCTTATGTGATTTTATTCAAACTAAAAAGTGTCTCTTTAAATGAATTTGCAGGGCAACATTCAAAATAGGTCCATATCCCATGAGTTTGAGGCTATACATTGAACACATAAGATTTCATTTATTTTTAATCTAAGTCATTATTGAAGGTAGCTGAGAAAATAGCAGTTATATTCATATAAGATTAAAATGACTGGATGTAAAGTGGAAAAGGAAAACCAAGAAATAACATGCGGAGAAATGGGGCAGGGAAGAGCCAAGGAGAGATTTTCTTTCAAACATGTAAAAGTAGAAAAAATAAAAATATTGGACCAAGTTAGCCAGGACCTTTGGTACTCAGTGCACCCAGCTCCTCACGAGCATCCTGCAATAACCCCACCCCTGGTTGGTGCCAACTTGCCAAGGAGTCTTCCCAGAGCCCCCTTTATATCCTTGTTCCTCAGACTATAGATGAAGGGGTTCAGCATGGGGGTGACCACCGTGTACATCACTGAGGCCACTAGACTTGACCTGGAGGACGAAGTGGCCGCAGAACTGAGGTAGACCCCCAGGCCTGTGCCATAGAACAAGGACACCACCAGGAGGTGAGAGCCGCAGGTGGAAAAGGCTTTGTACTTGCCTCCAGCTGAGGAGATCCTCAGAATGGAGCAAACAATTTTATAGTACGAGAAAAGTATCCCATTGAAAGGAATGACAGCCAGAAGGCCAGTTGTGAAATATACCACTATGTTATTGATGAGGGTGTCCGAACAGGCCAGCTTCAGGACCTCAGGAAGATCACAGAAAAAATGTGGGATTTCCACATCGGTGCCAAACGAAAGCCTCAGAACAGTCAAGGTCTCAAGAAGGGAGCCGAGGACACTCAGGCACCAGGACCCCAGGGCCAGCCGTCCACAGAGGCGGGGGTTCATGATGACCATGTAGTGCAGGGGGTGGCAGATGGCCACAAACCGGTCGTAGGCCATCACGGTCAGGAGGAGATTGTCCAGACACCCAAACACAATGAAAAAAAAAATCTGGCTGAGGCAACCTCTATATGTTATGATTTTGTTCTGCGTCTGGATGTTCAGCAGCATCTTGGGGACGGTGGTGGAGGTGAAGCCGATGTCGGCAAAGGACAGGTTGGAGAGGAAGAAGTACATGGGCGTGTGCAGGTGGGGGTCGGAGCTGATGGCCAGGATGATGAGCAGGTTCCCGGCGAATGTGACCAGGTACATGGCCAGGAACAGCCCAAAAATAATAAACTGAATCTCTGACTTTTCTGAAAATCCCAAGAGGAGAAATTATGATGCATGTGTTTGATTTCCTGATTCCACGTGGGTGAAATAACTGCCAGGAAAGAGAAAAAAAGCATCATTCAGCCATCACGCTGAGCACAGAAGTGTAGTTGCCTTTCATTCCCGGTGAATGAATTAGTAAAGTGCTACATTTTTTCCAATTGCCTTTATTTGGGGAATTTCAAATGTTCTCGCTCTTTCCATTTTTGTCACTAGTGTGTGGGAATGTGGTCTCAGCGCCGACATAGTTTTACCTTCTCGAGCCCGGCTACTCAAAACGTGACCCCCCAGGACAGGAGGATCAGCGCTATCCAAGAGATTCCTTGAATGCAGTATCCCAGGCCCCACTCCGATCCGCTGAGTCAGAATCTGCATTTAAACAGACCCCTGGAAGTCTCACGTGTGCACAAATACTCAAGCAGTGTTGGTCTAGAGCATCTATGGCTTCCAGGCTTTCGTCTTTGCCTCCTCATTTTTATTTTTCTCTGTACCTTCCTTCAAATGTCATTACTTAACATGTAAACAAAAATAGAAACTCATTAATTATAATTTTATTTATAATTAATGTTTTATAGATTAATGTCATCTAGTCCAAGCATTGTTTATAAATCCAATGTTTCTTCTTTAATGCAAATGCATAAATATATAACTTACAATGATTAACATTTTTTGGTAATCGTGTTATTTGACATGTGTATTTTGTGACACTCTCTGTGTCTTTGGAAAGCCTGGTATCCATTATACCGGGTTTTCTTTCATATTTTATTAAAATTCATAAAGTATAGTTTAAAAAGTAATATAGGCACCACCTATTGGATATTATATTCGAGAATTTTATGTTTTGTATACATACATATTTACACACATATACTTTTGAAAGTGCTTAGCGTAGTGCCAGAGAAAATGGTGGTGTAGGCCCCACATGCATGACAGCGCTGGGCCTTCCAGGGAAACTCTTTAAGGAATCTTAAAAATAGCCAGCTAGATGGAAGGGATCATGCTCAGCGAAATAAGCCAGAAAGAAAAAGAAAATACCGGATGGTCTCACTCATAGCAGGAATCTAGAAAACCTAAATAAGGGACCAGGAAAAAGAATAACTATAAGAAAGAAAAAAATCAAAATCAGCAAACAACTATGAACCAGAGACACACTTGGGGGGGGGTGTGGAGGAAGGATTGGGGTCAAAATCAGGGGGTTGCAATTGTATGGGGAATATTAAAAAAAAGTAAATTTAAAAAAATAAAATAAAATAAAAAATAGCCAGCTAGAAACTCTAGACCACAATCATACAATATCGGAAATTAGAAATTCACTAGCAGCCTATTCTGCATATTTGAACATACAGGAGAAAGGACCCATAAGGGTGAAGGCCAGCTCACTAAGATTATGTGACTTCAGCAGCAGAAAAGAAAAGCAATGAAGAAAATGAAGAGAGCCTATAAAAGCTGTGACATATGAGCCAGATGAGCACATGCACAGGGGGAGCTCGAGGAGGATGAGAGAGAGACACTATATCTGGAAGTCCAGAACAGCCCCAGGTTTTGTGTAAGATGTGAGTCCACATATTCAGGAATTCAGTAAATTTTAATCAGGATAAATTCATCAAAATATTATGCTATTTGGAATGAAAATAGACACATAGACCAATGGAATTGACCTGATAGCTCAGAAATAAACCCACATGTGTATGGAAATTACTCTGACAAACAATGCAAGAGTATACTGTGGAGAATGAAAGTTTCTTCTACAAACAGTGCTAAGGAAACTGGACAGCCACATGCCGAAGAATGAAGCTACAACACTGCCTGATACCATACGTGAAAATGAACTCTAAGTGAGCTAAAGACTTAAATGAAAGATTGAAACCATAAAATACTGAAAAGAAAACAGACGAAACACTTTGCAACACTGACTTCCATGTGTCTTTGGGGACGTGACTCCAACGACAAGGCCAATAAAAGCAAAAACTAACAAAAGGGCTATCACGCGAAGAAGCTTCCACGCAGTGAGAGAGCTGTCGGTAAACTGGACAGGTGTCGTACTAAATGGGAGGACACGTGTCTACATCAGACAGCTGACAAGGGCCTATCGTCTACTGTCTACTAAGAACTCATACCACTCAACTCCAACAAAAACAAGAAGACCTGAGTAGACACTTCTCCAAAGCCGTGCAGGCAGCCAGCGGACATGAACCAGTGCTCATTATCGCACTCATCAGCAACACACAAGTCAGGACCAAAGTGAGCTACTATTTCACAGCTGTGAGAATGGCCCACATCAAAAAGATTGTTCATAATATTGCTCTGGGAGGGCCATTGATCATTGTAATATCTAAGCTGTTTCACCTTTTCTCAAACCTACTTTTTACCCCTTAGGGTAAAAATTACCCCTCAGGGTAAAATACTGTCCCATACTCTTGACACAAAAGACTTTTTGGACATTTCTAGCTCGTTCACGTCCCATCATTCAAGGACTTAGTTCCACTGGTGCTTCTCGGGTGTTCGTGGGCTCAGAGCGCTGCTTTAGGAAGGAAAAGTGATGCCGGGAAATCCCTTCGCTGGACCAGAGTGGTTGATGAGTAGAAGGCATTCTACTGACAAGTAGGTCAGTAGAGGTCCTTCAGGCAAGTGAGGTCATGCTAAGGCTGGGATTTGAGAGTTGCAGAAGTGTATGGGGTCGTGGTTGAAGTGGAAGGTCTCCTGCAATTCTGTTATCATTGTTGCTCGGTGAACAGTGTTTTATTATTTCACTGTTACTGCAGTCTCCGCGCAATGCCATTTATTAAGAACAAGTGGACCTAATCAGATAAGAAATTTTTTGGCTCTTAAATCCCTCCACCGCAGGTGTGTATCCACAGGCGTGGGTCTCTTTTATCTTAGAAGTAGCATTTCCTTCTTTAGTTTTAACCTTCAATCTCCGTCATGTCCACAGAAGTAATCATGCCATCCCGAGCGTAAGCTTCCCCACCCTCAAAGGGTCTGGGACACGCATGGGCCCTTGGGCTCTCTGAGGCTCTGACTGCTTCCCTCAGTGGTGCGGAGACGCCTGCATCCCACCGAATCCCCAGAGCATCCTCATTTCTACCACACTGATTAACTGAGGAAGGGCCTTAAAAAGAGGAACGTCCGTCCACATGTAAGAAACAGAGAAAGTGTACTAGGAGGGACGTAACTGTTTACTACGTGGGAGTCTGAATGCTTTGATCACTCAGAGGGGATTTACAATTTTAACTTGAATCAAGGTTTACTGCTGATTTTTTTCAGAATGCATGAGCACCTCCCTATGCCTCTTGCCCCCAGAGAAGCATTTCAAGAACATTAAAATGTAGTTTTGAAGGGAATCACTGGATACATGGCTCCTCTGTCACACAGTGTGACTGCTTTATGAGAATGAGGGACAGCAGTGCACTTTACCTTCGTGTCAAGAAGGCCATGCCTCCATGAAATAACAGTTTGTTTTATATTATGGTACTATAAATCTCGTCAGTGATCATCGTACCAGAGATGGCCACCAAATGCATGCATCCTCCTCTTCCTTGTTCTCCTCTCCAAGTCTCTTCTGCAGAAATTGCTTGTATTTGGGTGCGGTTGTGTGCCTAGTTAAGACACCAAGTTTTCCATCTTGTCCTGCAATCATGGATAGTTAGTAAACAGTCTGGGGAGTTACTGGCTGGAAAGACTGGAATGTCATTAAGGAGACTTTCTCTTTTCTGTCTCCTTCTTGCCCTGAATTTGTACATGACCCTGACACTCCTGCAGCGCATGTATCTTAGGGACGGGGGAGCAAGGAAGATGTGAGCAGTCATCCCTCATGGTGCATGGAGACACCATGTTGTTCTCTTCTTTTGTGAGGAGAGGGCAAATGAACCCCTATTTGGATTATAACATTTTCAAGTTTTTTTTTTTAATTTATATTAAAATTTTATCCTAATGGCACAAGCAGAGTCCTTTGTCTTCACTGAAACTCTCCGGCTTATCAGGGACCCAATTATGGCTACTAAACATCATTTTGTGGGAGATATTTTATTTACTTGTGTAATTATTTACCCAGTTTTTGTATCTGCTTTATTTTTTTTCCTGCTACAATATTTCTTTTTCGTATACATTCAAGGTATGTTTACTTTGTTCTATGTATTGTGTAGGTTTCTAAAATGCTTTGGGAATGTATTGTGTGAATTTCTGAATTAGTAGATAAATGGTATTTTTCAAGTAACAGCCCCTTGGCCCATCACATCTGCTGTCCCGTAAGCATTCTGTCAGAGCCCTTTATACTCACACTTGTGCTGATAAGAAAAAGGTCCACAGAATATAAAAATCATGCCCAAGGTCCATTGGGCATTAAATGCAAAAGACTGGAGTAGAAATCACACCTCCCTGACTCCAAGTTAGGGTTTACTCATTCTTCAGGGCCACTTCACTGGATCAGCGCTTCAAAAGACGAGAAAATGCTCGAGTTAAAACACAGCAGAATCCCAGGAGACGAGCAGGCATGGAGAAGTCCTGGAATTGGACTCCGAGATGGTGACCTAGAAAGCGTGAGTGCAGAGAATCCCCTTCAGAGCCAAGGACGTGAAATGAGCAGGATTTTTAACCACTAGCCTTTCATTATCTCCTCAGCCTGTCTCCCAGCAGACATCCCTAATAAGTCTTCATTTCCTTCGCACCACTTCCCTGCAGCACTCAGCATCTCCCAGAGGCATCACTCAGAGGACTTGATACCAACTGGCCTTTTGTCTCTTGGACAGTAGGTGTGAGAAGAAGAGACAGTGAGTGCCTGGCACTGGCTGCAGAGGGATCAGACATCCGAGAGATACAGAGAGGATGCCAAGTGAGCCCGGGGCTGATGAGCCACAGGAGAGCTCTCGGCAGGGGACCCACCGCTGAATTCTCAGAGCGCCTCATTAAATAGAGGGGCTTATTTTTGCTGTTTTCTAAGTGATTCAGCTCCCTTGGATCCAAGGCACCACACATAGAAGGAAACTTTTCTCCAAGTTTAATCCCTGCAGGCTTACCTAGAGGGACATATGCATGCTCCCTCCCTAATGAGAAGTCCATCTCCCCTGGAATGACTGTCTCCCCGGTGTAGATGGCCTCTCATGCAGGGCACGTCGAAAAGACCAGCCACTGTGCCTATGAGATGGTCTGAGGGGGACTGAGTCTCCAGAGTCTGCATCAGAAATGCAGCTCTGTCAAAATCCATCCCAGGCAAGATTCCCTCCGTATCATCGAGATCCCAGAAGGAGAATAAAAAGGGGACAGCTTAGAAAATCTGTCTAAAGAAATAAGAACTGAAAACCATCTACTGTAGGAAATGAAGCACTCGTTGGATGCAAGAGGTCCAAAGCGTTCCAAACAGAATCACACAGGGAGAGCCCAAGACACACTGGAATTAAACCAGCTTTCCCCCACTTCTCACAAGGACATGCCAGGTCCCTGAGGATCTTAGGACACAGGGTGGAAATCAGCCTCTTGGAACGAGCTTTAATTTTCCTTCTGGAGAAAAGTCATGAAGGTTTTTTTGGTTTTTTTTTTTTTTTTTTTGAGAGCGAAGCACTGTGGGTGAAAAGGCTCTTCACTATTGGGCTCCTCCTGGGTTCTACGCTCAGATAGGCCCTAGGCGTTGGAGGTAGTGGAAGGAACGCAGCTCACCCACCACCCAGGCCGCTGGAGAGCAGCAGGTCTGTGCCCAGAACTAAGTCTCTGGGTGCCAGCCATGACCTCAGCATACTTTTGTCATCCTTGTTCCGGAAAGTCCTACTGCCCCTAGTCCTGGGGGGGTGTGATTAGTCCCCTTTGGAAATTGTTGCCGTTATCTCTGGAGCTTCCTTAACTCTCCTGAAGTCCCTGCCTGCACTGCCCCTGCAGCTGCCTGGTGACCCCTACCTTGCCCGGGACTCCCGAGGACCTGCGCTGCGCTCTGTTTTACTCCTTCCCCTGACCCTCTCAGATGTCTAACGTCAACAGCAAGTGCTTTCTAATTTTGGTGCACTTTGAATGCATCCTGTCCTCTTGCATAAATTGCTACGTTTAAGGTTTTCATATGGCAACATATATTCCCTGTTAGTGGATCATTTTTGATACACTTTAACTCAGCCTCTGTGGTTCCCCTTACATGGGAAGGGGTGGGGGAACTGCAGTTCAGATCAGAGGGATCCAGCTGGCAGCAGCTCAGTCTGAGGCACTGTTACTTACCTCTAGGTGAAGGGGACTTACCCTCTTCCCCCCCACCCCTCACCCAACTACAACTATAGGCCCCAGGGTGCCAGGCTGGAGCTGAGCTGCCTGTGAGCCTGTGTAACGCAGAAGGCAGGTGGGGCTGCTTCTCCTACTTAGACTTGCACTGGGGGATCTGAGGGGCCTTGGAAGGAGATACTTGAGACACGTAGGCTAACTGGTCATCAGTGGTGACAAAATGGAAATTGGGGAAATTGTAAGAGGAATAATAAGGAGCAGCCTCCAGGCCAGTGTGTGGTACTCATAGCCAGCTTGATGGTACAAGGGTGGAGCTATCTAGACTCCAGCCGCCTGATGTCAATTGGATGCTAGATGCTTTTCAAACTTAGCAGGAGCTGATGGGAAACAGAGGCAGAGCTGAGACTTTGGGTAGGTGAAGGCCTGAGGCTGTTGTTCTGTTTAAATATGAGGCATTTGGTAGTTAAAAGCAGTGGGCTTTTGGCCAGTTAAGCTTTTGGGTTTCTGGAAGCTAAGCTATTGGGACTTCAGCAGATAAACTGCTGGTGAGAAAGGGTTTCTATGAAGAAGCTGCCAGATTGCCACATAGGGCTTTGACTTGGACCTCAGTTTCTGCTCAGTGGATGTAATCTAGGGTAGGACAGGTGGCTTCCGGCCTTCTCTCTCTCTCTCTCTCTCTCCCCCCACACACACGTAAATAAATTCTACTACTTCACACAGTGTGTCTGCTTTGGGGGGGTCCTGCAGTTGTAAGCATTCAGGTGAGGACCCTGATCAGACATCCCCTTGAGTTGCTTGGTGTCATGATAAAGTATTGAAACTTTCCCTTAAGAACAGGCATCTATCAGGCCTCCCTGGTGGCGCAGGTGGTTGAGCACAGTGCTATAAAGCTGTCCACAGCCTCTGCAGCGGTGGTTCGAGCCCGGTCAACTTGTGAGATACCTACATGGCGCAGCAGACCTCTCCTGTCTCACCTGCTGTTCCCCTTAACAGTGCTTTTGGTCCGTCTGCCTGTTCTGCTCCCCGCTCTGTCTCTGGTGAATCCTCTCATCCTCCCGCACAACTGGCCTGCACCCCAGTTCTTATATGCATAAATAAATTAAAAAAAAAAGAACAGGCAACTATCAAATATGTTACTCTCATCACTTCTGTTCATCACCATAAAGCAATAAGGCAAGAAAAAGAAAAGTTTAGAAATCAAGTAGGATTTTTATTGGTATTGACAGATTTGTATACATTAAAAAAAATCCATGTACCAATTAATCCATAAACTATTTGAATAAATAATTGATTTATAAATGTCAGTGGATATAAGATCAGTGTACAAAAATATTTCAAGTCTATGTGCTAGTCAAAAAATAGAAAAATGAAATAAAAATGTTTACAAAGGTAAAACATATTGCTTACGTAGAATTAGAACTATAAGACAACATTAAGGGAAAGTGAAGATGATCAGCATAAACAGGCAATTACATCAGTTCATCAACTGGCAGACTAAGTCATTTAAGTGTCAATTTTATTAAGTTTATTCTGTGACATCAATGCAGTCCTCAGTATAATCCCAGAAGATTCATTTGTAAAAACTGTTAAGGGGCAGATTCTAAGCCTAATACAGAAACAAATGGAAAATGAAGAATTAAAAAGTTGGAAGGTTCTCACTACAAATTTTCCCAGAAAAATCTACAAGGCAACAGTGAAGATTGAGATGACATCTTCAGCAATCTAAAGCAAATGAACAGATGGCATCTAACCTATCTGAATGTCTTGAATTACTTAGACCAGGCTAGGTTCCAGAATTCATAGTTCCCGCCCCTTACTAACCCAGACTGAAAACAAAGTGCTAATTGGTGATATTAGAGCTATTTCTAGATCACAACTGCCCGTTGCTGCTTCTCCCACACACACATCACAACTACCAGGACACGCAGACACTTCGCTGGTCCCTGAATGAGCAGGGTAAATATTTTCTCTGGCCACAGCAATTCATAATGGTTAGCAAGTGAGTCAAGAGACTCAACTGTCATAATGACATGGAACTTTTGATAAAGATACTCTCTTTCTGAGACTTCAACCAAGAAAGTGGCCTGGGTTCTCTCAGGCCCACTATGGAGAGAAATAGCCTGTCAGGAAGAATAACTAGTGTAGGAAATACATAGTCAAGAGGAAACATCCAGCTAACATGTTTTTAGCTCCAGTATCCAGCCAGACCTGAATCTAGTTATACGAAGGAATTTCTCATTCATCAAGCCAATAAATTCCCTTCACGGCTTACAAAAATAAAAGAATGAAAAGCCAAGCCAGAGATGGGAAAGTTAATCTGCAATACATATGCATACACATGCCATAACTCATGTATATATAACATATAATGTTTTATATATACATGTATATGTAATTAGGTATGGCAATACACATACTACAATTAAAAGCAAGCAGCCAAAAGAAAGCTCTGCAAATAAATAAGGACTCAAAAGTGGGTGAAATGCTTGAACAGGTGTCCTCATAAGATATCTTAATACTGAACAAACATGGCCTCCCTGGTGGCTCAAGGGGTTAAGCACCACACTATCAAGCAATCCGCAGCCTCTGCAGCACAAGTTTGATCCCCAGCCGGCCAAGGAGCAGCCCACATGACACAGCAGACCTCTCCTGTCTCCGCTGCTCCCCTCAGCAGTGGATTTCAATCGGTCTGCCTGCTCTGTTCCCCACTCTGTCTCTGGTCAATCCCTTACCCCCCATATCTCTGGCCTGTACCCCACCTCTTATATGCATAAATAAATAAATCTTTAAAAAAACTACTGAGCAAACATAGGAAGTATTCAAAATTATTAAATACCAGGTAAATGAAAATTAAAAACAAAATATTATCAACACATACCCTGATGAACAGCTAAAATTAGAAAGTGTTGACCATGTGTGTAGAACAACTGGGATTTTCCTGCATTGCATCTAGGCTTATAGGTTAATCAACCTTTTTGAAAAACTGAAATACCTGCCACATCTAAACAAAGTCTATCCTATGAATCAGTAATCTTTTTCCTAGAAACAATCATACACCAAGACAAATATGTGCCAAGGGTAATTAAAAGGCAAACTATGCAAGCTGAGAAAAGCCAAATTCATAACTACATATGCACAAATACTGTATTTCCGCATGTGTACATCAGTCAAGAGCAAGCAAACCCAATAAATTGTAACAAAAGTAAAAACTATGGTTGCCTAAAGCAATTACTGAAAAAAGTAAGTTAACTTCCTCGAATACTAGACTTTTTTTTACTCTTTCCCAATTATTTAGTGATAAATGAGGTCAAAAGCAAACCATTACAGGAAAGGGGAATGTTCTACATTTACCGGGATGTATACATACATGTGAAATTGCATCAAACGATACACTTAAAGCTTAATGCACACTTAATGCATGTAAGAATATAAAAGCCTTAACAGAAGTAGAGTCTCTTCTTTCAAAACCCTTGCACTTATTAATTTCTGCTAAAATTACTTACGAGGAAAGTTCTTAATAACCGATAACCTCAAAAACCTCAAAAACCGTAGGTTCTCTTACTAAAAAAAAAAAAAGAGGGAAAATATCGGGAAGGCAAGTTCCAGCATCTGCCAAGCTAGATGAAAATAAAATCACCAACTACAAAAGAAAATACAAACACCAGTGTGTCCATACCATAACGACTGCACACTAACGAGATCAATGGGTTAGTAAGAATATAATTAGAAGCTAATACAAAAAAGTACCCCAGCCTCCACTTGAAAATACACTTCGAATCCCAATTGGATCCCAAAGACTGTAATGCAACTAAAATTTACATCTGAACCAAAATAAAAGCACTTCAAAGTAAAGCATGTGTTAGAGCTAAAAAGGTGTTCAAAGGAAATTAATCACCTTAAATAGTCACACCAGAAAATAAAATCTGGAAATCAATGAGTCAGCAGTCCACTTTCCAGGTGAGGCTTTGCTTCCAGTATGACTTTTATAATACACAATGAGTGAGGTCCATGGTTTGCACACACAGCACTGAGTTGTGAGATCTCAAACACCTCAAAAATATGAAGCTTCCTACTTTTTTACATTCATAAGGTGACTTCATGGAGACAGCATAGGTTAAGATTAGAAAAATTCTTGCAGGCATTCTTATAGTTCTTACTTTAATATTTTAATTTTCTCTGGTGTGAGTTTTCACATGTCTTCGAAAGTAGGCAGGGCAAACAAAGGCCTTCCCACACTCCTTACATTCATATGGTTTCTCTCCAGTGTGGCTTCTAACATGTCTTCGAAAGGATGAGGGGCAACTGAAAGCTTTCCCACATTCCAGACATTCAAAGGGTTTCTCTCCAGTGTGCATCCGGGCATGCACAGTAAGGTATGAGGAATGGCGGAAGGCTTTCCCACACTCTTTACACTCATAGGGCTTCTCTCCAGTATGTGTTCTCATGTGGATCCTAAGAGCTGAGGGATAAATAAAGGCTTTTCCACATTTCTTACATTCATACGGCTTCTCTCCAGTGTGAGTTCTGACATGCACTGTAAGGTGGGAGGAACTAATAAAGGTTTTCCCACACTCCTTGCATTCATAAGGCTTCTCTCCGCTGTGCGTTCTGAGGTGTTCAGTGAGGGATGAGGAGCGACTGAAGGTCTTCCCACACTCCTTACATTCATACTGTATTTTTCCTGTGTGGCCTCTCACGTGTGCTCTGAAGGAGGAAGGACAGCTAAAGGCTTTCCCACATTCCTTACATTCATGGGGTTTCTCCCTACTTTGATTTTTCACATGTGTGTTAAGGGAAGTGGGAAGATAGAAGGCTTTTCCACATTCCAGACATTCGTAGGGTTTCTCTCCAGTGTGTTTCCTCATATGGATACTTAAGGAGGAGGGGCAATTGTAGGCTTTCCCACATTCCTTGCATTTATATGGCTTCTCTCCAGTATGTGTTCTCACGTGTACAGTGAGTTTTGAGGACTCACTGAAGGCCTTTCCGCACTCCTTGCATTCATAGGGCTTCTCTCCAGTGTGAATTCTTATATGTATTATAAGGTGAGAGGAGGAACTAAAGGCTTTCCCACACTCCTTACATTCGTAAGGCTTGTCACCACTGTGGATTCGTTTGTGTTTGGAGAGTGAGGAGGAGCAACTGAAAGCTTTCCCACAGTCCTTACATTCATAAGGCTTGTCACCACTGTGGATTCTTTTGTGTTCTGTGAGGGACGAAGAGCAGCTAAAGGTTTTCCTACAGTCCTTACATTCATAGTTCGTCTTTCCGGTGTGAATCTTCATGTGTGCCCTAAAGAATGAAGAACAGCTGAAGGCTTTGGTACATTCCTTACATTCATAAGGTTTCTCTTCGGTTGGGGTTTTCACATGCTTCTTAAAACAAGCAAGAAAATGAAAAGCTTTCCCGCATTCCTTACACTGATATGGTTTGCATCCAGTGTGAGACTTGATGTGATTCTTAAGGGACAAGTGATCAGTGAAAGCTTTTTTACACTCATGGCATTCATAGGATTTCACTTCAGTAGTTCTCTTGAGTTTGCAAAGATTTGGAATTTGGCTGAAGGTTTGTCCACCTTGACTGTTTTCATTATATTCACAGCTATTCTCCACTACAGGACCTCTTTTAAAAATAAAAATATACATTATTAGTGACAAATTTTTACCATTTTCAATTAATATGTTTTCTGTCATGTCAAAGGATAAACTGAAGGTTGTCACAGAGGACTCTGTAACAGCCAATGAGTTTTTTACTTTTGGAATTTCCTCATAATTACTCACAATTGAATGATGTGCCAAACATCAAGTATCTCAATCTTGTTTGTGGAAAAAACAATCTTGTAAAAATTCTTTAGGAAATTCCAGTTTTTGATCTAGTCTTATATCCAGGATTTTAAAATTTCATGGCATTTTACGTTTCTCTTTTAAGGCATTACTTTGTTTACATGAATGACACTCACCTCAAGTGTTTCTCATGGTTTTTGTTCTGATGATCAGTACAGTGGTATTCCCAGTTTTTGTGTGGAATGGATGGCAAAGCATCATTCCTTTTGAATGTTACTATTTTCTGTTCATTGGGTATTTTTTCTCCATAAAGATCTTGCAAAACAACTGATTCAATAGTTTCAAGTTGGGTCTCAGAACCTGAAACAAAAAAGTTAAGGTACCTGTAAGCAAGGAACTTTCAGCATTGTGACCATTTCAGGACTTTGGAAATAGGTACAAGAGTTAAGATAGCAAGCAACAGACTAAAAATAATCTCCATGAAGGCTGACACTGATGGTAACAAGACAGGGTATTAAGAGAAGTGAAACAGAAAGAAATGGGATGAAATGCACATGACCAAGGACTAATGTACAAAGAGAATATAGGGAAGGGCTTTCCCAAGAGTAAAGAAAGTATGAGAAGGTTGATTTTAAAAAGTCGAAATAGTAATCTATTAGAAGACTGGCTTCCTCGGTCAAAAAGAAGTTTTGTTTTTCATTTATTTGACTTTTTCAAATATAGTGTCACCCAACTAGGACAGTTTCTGCCATGGGTTCTTGCCTTTCTGATGCTCCCCCCGAAGAGGTCTTTGCTTCTCTCTGTCCAGGTTTTCCTCTTGTCTCCACCGGGAGATGAGAGAGGGTGTGCGCGGAAGATACCCTGTTCATGCAGAAAGGGGTAGCGATCGTGAGGGCAAACGAGCAGTAAAATACAAACATTGCCATGACACAGAGCCAACATTTTCATCTCCTCATACTCTATAAGTGTGTGTGTATGAGTTTAACTGCAACAAAATGCTTGTCAAAATTTATTTAAGGAGGGCCTCCCCGGTGGCGAAGCGGTTGAGCGCTGGGTTGCGAAGCTGCCCGCAGCCTCTGCAGCGCTGGTTCGATTCCTGGCTCCTCCCCGGCCACCAGAGGAGCGTCCCACATGGTGTGACAGACCTCTCCTGCCGCGTCCGCTGCTCCCCTCAGCAGTTTACTTCGTCAGTCTGCCTGCTCTGCTCCCCGCTCTGGCTCTGGTGAATTCTCTCACCCTCCCGCGCTTCTGACTGTACCCAGTGCTTGTATAAATAAATAAATAAATAAATCTTAAAAAAAAAATTTATTTAAGGAAAATAAGCAGGGAAGGAAGAGGACAGTCTGGGATGTCTAGAACTGTCTGGGATGTCTAGAACTGTCTGGCATGTATACCTAAGCCTCAGTATTGTTAGAAGCTTGTCAGATACCTTGTTATCCTGTTGGCCATAAATAATCTCACATGTACCAGACCTAGACAAGGTTACTCAAGACTGTGATAAAATGAAACAAAACAAGGTCACATCATAATTTTGTCTAAGGATGGACACAGTGACCCTGAAGTCCATCCCCACCCTTTCAACACCTCAGATGCCTCGCCTCTCTCCACCACAAGAGAGAAAGAAGATCAGTTCAATACCCAGATGTTTATTTTCATGGCGAGGCCACTAAGCTGTAAGGGCACTGAGTCAATGTCCATCTCTGTCTTCTCCACCAATGCATTCCAATTCCTCAGCCCAAATCCAAGGTCCTTTCATAAAATGCTATTTGTCTTTTAAACAACTAAATGAAGGGATCTTGCCATCCTTACCCAGTGAGGCCAGGTTCTGGAAGGTCTCCTGCATCACATCTCTGTAGAGGTTTCTCTGAGCCAGATTCAGCAGAGCCCACTCCTCCTGGGTGAAGTCCACAGCCACATCCTCAAAAATCACTAAGTCCTAAAACATCCCAGATAGTCTATGAGAAAGGCATCCCCCAGTATTTGTAGGAGGCTGAATGAGGCAGAAAATACTGGGAAATGGAGAATCAACTCACAGAAGGTTCAGCAGACCCCATGGTCTCCCCAAATCCACCCCAGGACCAGTCACCAGACCCCTTTCTCTTTCTCCCTAAACTTCCTCACCGAATCCTGTCTCACAGATTTAACAACACTTCTTTCTACAAGTCTGGAAACCACAGTTTGATGATGACCAATTCATCTTTTAATAATCCAGAAAGTCCAGAGCACTAGTAACAATGAGAGAAATGATCTAGAAGTGCAGTAGTTTACACAATGACACCAACAATTTCCCTGCCTCCTATCATGGCAATTAGCATGGCACAAAAAAACTGGGCAAAATCTACATGAGATTTTAAAGCATGAAAACACTGAAGGACAGAGCTTTCCTTTTTATCACAAGCTTGACAGGCCCAGGAGCTAGCAGAGGCATACACTTCAGCCCAGGGTCAGAGCTGGCCATGTTATCTTGTCCTCGGGCCAGGCTTGGCAACTACTGCCACTGGACTGTGTCCACCTCCTAGCTGTCTCTCTAAATTTTACCTGAACGCAATAAAACATTTATTTATGCACTATCTATGGCTGCTTTTATACTGAATTGGCAGCATTTAAGTGCTCAGAGTTTAATTGAAACTCGCTGGCCTTCAGAGCCTAAAATGCTACATAGCTGGGCCTCCCTGGTGACACAGAGGTTAAAGACACAGCGCGGGCCTCCCTGGTGGTGCAGCATGTTGAGTGCAGTGCTGAGAAGCTGTCCACAGCCTCTGCAGTACAGGTTTGATTCCCGGCCCGCCAGAGAGCTACCCACATTGCACAACAGACCGCTCCTGTCTTGCCCGCTGCTCCCCTCAGCAGTGTTTTTGGTCGCCTGCCTGTTCTGTTCCCTGCTCTGTCTCTGGTGAATTCTCTTACCCTCCTATGCCTCTGGCCTGTACCCCAGTTCTTCTATAAATAAATAAAAATCTTAAAAAAAAAATAAAGACACAGCACTATCAAAGTATTGCAGGCCGATCCCCGGCTGACCCACAGGGTACAGCAGACCTTTCCTGTCTCCCCGCTGCTCCCCTCAGCAGTGTATTTCAGTGGATCCACCTGTTCTGCTCCCCACTCTGTCTTTGGTGAATCCTCTCACTGTCCCTCCAGTTCTTGTATGCATAAATAAAATTAAATCTTAAAAAAATAATAAAATGCTGCATTTCTCAGTGAATAATAAACAGGCTATTGATCCCTACTTTAAACACGCAGATCAATGACAAGGCAGAACAGCAATATTCTTCTGGAGAATTAGTAGCTTTTACGTACCGGTGTCATATGGTTCCGTGTCTCAGTGGTTGCTCTTTCTTCCTCCATGTTCCCTTCATGAAGAAAGGCAGAACGCTGAGAAGTTCAAGTTGAGGCAGGAGGAAGACATGAAAATCCAGATCTCACCACAGCCCCACACTGTCACCTGCAACACAGCCACTATAAGTGACCATTCCCGGCACACACATGCACAGCCCCGGGCCCTCGGCTCCCGTAAGGAGACAGTGCAACCTTATCTCCTCTAGAGAACAGTGTTCTGGGTCTTGCTGATGATGAAGAAAAAGAGTTAAGTCAGATAAGTTCACTTACATCAAAATTTTAGTTGTTGATTTGAGTTTGACCATGAACAATAGAAAGCCGTCTCAGAATACCTCCAACTGTGAGAATGTCCGGTCTGCCTCAAGGCCGTGACAGCACTACCTTGCCTTAGCAGACTCCAGTGGGCTCCCCTGCAAATATTTCTTTCTTCTGCACCCCTAAGCAGGCTAACTAGCCATCAGTTCTCAGTCCCTGACCAGTGGACACACCCCTCCCGGCCCCCAGGGCCTACAGTCCCTGCAACCTGGTTTTTGAGAAGGAGCCTCAGCTGAGTTTCTCATGCAGGAGCAGAGACGGCTGCGTGGTGAGCCCCGTGGACAATGGCCCGTGCAGCACTGCAGCCGCGGACCGAGAAGACTTGAAGGGAAGAGATGTAAGTAGTGACTACTTTCTAAGTATTTTCGGCGGGGCCGAGCAATGTCAGATGATGAAAATGCAAGCTGTTTCTCTGAGGAGGATCAAGTGCGTGTTGTGAAGTCATTAGCAGCAGTATGTTCTTGCCCGTGTTATTAACACACGCTGGCTGAGCAGCCCCTTGGCGAGGACAGTGTCAAAGATACAGCCAGTCCTCCACAAGGAGGTTACTTCTCAGGGAGTCGCTAGAAACCAGATGTCTTCCAGCGAGTTTACAGTTGCGGGATCTCAGGGCCAGCCATGCCAAGTGGCTCAGCTGCTGCTCTGACTCCCTCGTGCTACCTGGCTCTGGTTGGTAATAACCCCACCGGGCACTCTGAGAGCAAAGTAAGTTTTCAATTCAAATGTTGCGTCTCTGAGCTCCTTCCGCTGACTCAGCCCTGTATTTTGGACAGAATCTCTCCTCAAGACCCTTACCCCCTGCTCCTGGTGTCATAGTTATTAGGTGACGTCACCCTGCTCTCACACAGGAAGCCAGAGGCTGTGGGACTGAAACAAATATCCAGAAGCGCCTGGATGTTCCATCTCTTGAGGGAGGACAGTAAAGAATCAATCTAGTCCATGAAGCGTGCTGAGTTAGGAGGGGGAATCGTGGGCGGGCATAGGCCCGGCCAGTCATGAGCCATGCGGGAGGGCCATGGGGCTGGGAAGACGAGCGACATCAGAGGGACTGCGTCCGCCCGTAGTCTGTGGTGCCCCCTCTGCTCTGACTCACGCCATGTCCACTTGGGCGCCGCATGCCCACGGGCAGCTACCCTCTTCCGGGCATCTGGGGCCATCCCTGTGGTGTACAAGCAATGCTGACAACTGGGGAACCCCCAAGGAGGTGAAAGATAAACAGGCCTGGCCTGCCCGGGAGGACTCAGGTGGCTCTAGGAGGAAGGTAAGAGCTTCAAAAACTGCTTCAGAACTGGGCTCCCCTTCGACAGTCAGCCCAGAGGCCTGTCCTCAGCGCTGCCTCCCCCGTGCTCAGACCTTGCCTGGTAGAAGCACAGCACGCTCTGGTGAACAATCAAAGGGCCCACTCTCCGGCCGGGTTCTGTAACAGTGACACAAGCTATGTAAAAACACATCACCCAGTAGGTGTGAGCATATAGCAGGTAGTCTAGAAACTCCCTTAGCTCGCCAGCTGCCTGACCCCCGCCACCCGAATAGGTTTGCGATCCATGCCCTGTGCACAGGCTTGAAGTCAGAACAGTGAAGCAGCCTGTGCAGAAACCTGCTGTGCTCATAAGGGAAAGGCAAGCCAGTCTTTGAACCCCCACTAGCAAACAAGGAGCCAAAGAAGATTTAAAAATGGGTCCCTCCCCCCCTAAGCTTCTAAGCCTTTTTAGTAATCAGGAAAGTGATTAAGCACCAGCTTTCGCCTCCTCTGTGCAGAGGTAGCGTCAGCCTGTTAGGTTCGTTTAGGAAACCAAAAGACGGAGGTCTATAACACAGTCAGAAGCCTCTCCTCCTCCCAGTGACCCTTTACTTTATGCCGGGGACTCACTGTTCCAGCTGTACGAACTAAGCTCAAACTCATGATTGCTGAACAGTTCTCACAGAGTAACACTGTTGGACTGTTTTCCTGGGTTCTGACCCTCACTTTGATTATTTAATAAACTTTGTCTATTATTGAGACTTTTATTTCAGTCAGCACAGGGATTAGGAGGGACTCACATGTATTTATCTTAGCAAGCCAGAGCTGGTTAGTGGCAGAATAGAAGCAGAAAATTAGAGTAACTTTCAGAAAACACTGAAAATCCACAGTTGCTCTGGTGTGTGTGTAGAAATATGGCAAACTCCCCGAGGTGGAAAAAAAAAATCAGAATTAGCAGGTTAACTTGACTTAGAAGGTGGGAAATAGAACATCATAAATATTGAGAAAGAAACTGAAACAGTACAAAATTAACAATTTTTTTTAAAAAAACCATACACAGAATCAGAAGCTAACAAAGTATTCTGAGAGAACTAATGAAGTCAACAACCCTAAGCAATTTTAAGAGCCAAAGAGCACAGATAAAATTATGAATGAGTCATAATTACAAATATGGCGGTGAAAATATAAACTGAGGGGACAGGAAAACACACAGGTCATGAATGAATTTCTAGCGCGAAGTACAACTTTCCATGAACCATCTAAAATACATACACAACCTGACTCCGTTCAGCCATTAGGAGAAACATCAGCCGTTTAAAATACATCCACAGGGAAGATGCGTTACACACCGTTTTACTAGAAAATTCAGCAAAAAGCTGGGCCTGTGTGCGGGCGGGAGCGGGGTGACACGGCTCCGAAGAGGAGGCGCCCGCGCGCCCGCAACGCAGCGCAACGCCAGCCCAGCCCGGGGATGCGCGCGGGGTCGTCACGATCCAGGCTCGTCCCCGCTGGGCCTCCGCGGCCGTCGAAAATACAGTATTCCGTTAGCGTCACCCCGCACAGCAGCAGGAGACGACGACGTGGGGGAGGAACAGGGGAGAAAATCTGGGACGGCGCCTCGCAGGGGCGGAAGCCGTGGGGGGCGGGGGGCGGGCGTGACGCGCACCTGCCGGGGCCGGGCGCGGACGCGGTGGGGACCCCCGGCGCCTACGCGTCACCAGGCCGCGCCCGCCCGGTGACGGCGGCTCCACACAGCAGGCCCGGCCCCGGCGGGCGCGCCACGGCACCCCCGCGCCCGGGGAGGGGGCGGCCCGCTCGGGGCGGCGCCGGGGCCCACGGGGGGCCGCCCCCGAGCGCGCACCCCGGCCTCCAGGACCCCGTCCCCGCCGGGAGGGGGCGCCCCGGCTCCCGCCCGCCGCGGGCCGCCTACTCACCGCGGCGCGGGCGGCGCTCCCGGGGCGAGGGACTGGCGCGTTTCCTTAGAAAGACACTTAACACGCCCGGGCCCGAGGCGGGGGTGCGGGACGCGCGTCCGGCGAGCGCGGGGCTTCGGCGAGGGCCGGGGAGGGAGCAGCCCCGGGACGGCCCCGCACCCGGGGAGGGCGGGCGGGACACCGCGGTCTCCCGGCCCCGGAGGGCGGGCTGCGGGGCCGCGCGTCACCCACCCGCCTGCCTGTCGGGGCGGGCCCGGATGCCCGGAGGCTGCCCGGTCGCGGGGGCGCCCAGGCCGGCCGCTGCTCCGCGATCGGGGACGGGGCTCCCCGCCCGACCCGGCCCGGCCCGGCCTCCCCCGCGCGGCCCGAGGCGCCGGCTCCTGCGGGGGCCGGGGCCGCCGGCGCGCAGGCGCAGAGGCGCATCTGCTTCCGCCTCCCCGGCGCGGCGGCGGGCGGGGCCTCGGGGGGAAGTCGGGGGGCCGGGCGGAGGGGTGCGGGGCGGCGGCTCTCCCCGGGAGGGGGCGGGCGGCGCGCGGGGTTCGCTCCCCCGCAGAGGCGGCTGGGGAGACCGGGGACCAGAGCCAGGGACTTGCCTGACACTCTGGGCGCCCGAGGCGGAGCAGGGCCGGGACCAGGCCCAGCGGGCCAGGGCGGGGCAGCGGCGGGGTCGGGCGAGGCCGCCCCTCGGGTCCGCTGCAGCCCAACGCGGGGTGCGCCGCTTGCGCCCCTGAGCCGGCCCTGCGGCGCCCACGCGCCCCCACACTCCTCCGCCCTCAGCCCACCCGGCCAACCCCGCCCCGCCCCGCCCACGCGCCCCCTCCCTCGCCGGCCCCCGCGCTCTCCCCTCGCGCCTGTCGAGGGAGGCGCTGCCCCGCGCGCCCCGCGCCCCGCCGCCGGCTTAAAGCGCCTCAAACGGAAGCGGGTTGACGGCAGCCGGGCCTGCGGGCCGGGCCTGAGGCGGCCGCGGGAGGCGGGGAAGCCGCCGCCCCGCGGGCTCTCGGCGCGGACGGCGCGGGGCCCGGGGACGCCGTCGCGGTGCCCGCGCGGTGAGGGGCGCCGGCCATCGGCGCGCCCGCGGGGAAGTCACCCCGGGAACGGGCGGCCCCGCGCTGCCGGAACCCTCCCCCGCGGCGGCCGCCCCTTGCGAGGCAGGAGGGGCGCCCTCCAGTTGGGGGCTCAGTCAACCCTGCTCACGGCCGCGGTGGTGCTGGACGCCCCGTGGGACGCAGCTCCCCGCGCGCTTCCCTGACGCTGGCGCGGGAACGGCCGTTGCGCCGGGCCGCCGCGTGCTGGGCCTCAGAAGCAAGCCGCGCGTTCGTCATCCTCGCGTCGTCGTCGGGGGTTGCCCGGGTTCCCCGTCAGCCGTGGGCGCCGCCCCGGGCAGCGTCAGCCCTTCCTTAGGCCGATGGACCTGCTGCTCCGGCCTGGCGTCCAGGCCACCAAGACTAGATCCTCGCGTGTGTGCCGGGGCCAGCATGGCGGCACGTCAGTCACAGCTCCGCGTGTTAAAAAGAAGTGAACAGGCGAACTAATAGCTGACACTGGCTGTGGGGACATTTATTATGTTTTAATCTAAGTTATCAAATGTCCATGCCTCCGTCGAATGGATAGCCATTTGGCTGCTTTGCATCAACATCTCTTAGTTACTTAACTTTTTAAAAACATCGGGCTGTCTACTGTGCAATGTTTTTTTCCTGATGTCATTGTTGATTTTTGGACAGTATGTGATTCCTCCCCTCCGGTGCAGTCCCCGGAGTTCTCCCACCGCCGCAGCCCGCTGATCCATCTCTCAGCCCTTGTGCTCTTCTAGCCCCTATTTTGAAGCCTCCCCGGCCTCCATTCTGTGCGCCCCAGATCTGTGGTCTGCTGGCAAGTTTTGTCTTTTTCCTACCCCTTTGCTTGGTCTCTCTAGATTTTGCATATAACTGAAACCACCTGATATTTATCTTTTTCCTTCTGACTTATTTGGCTGAGCACAATCCCCTCCAGCTTCATCCATGTGGTCGCAAATGGAATGAGTTTGTCTTTTTTGCTAGCTGAGTAGCAGCCCATGGTGTCTATAGACCACATCTTGATCCACTCATCTGTTTTGGGGTATTTAGGTAGTTTCCATATCTTGTCTATTGTGAAGAGTGCTGCTGTAAACTTAGGGGTGCAGGTTTCTTTATGACAGGGTGTTTTGTGTCCTTTGGGTAGATTCCTAGGAGTGGGCTCTCTGGGTCATAAGGTAGCTCCATTTTTAGTAGGAACCTCCACACATACGAGGAAGCTCCACACAGCTTCCATAGTGGCTGGGCCACTTTGTGTTCCCACCAGCAGTGTAAGACTGTTCCTTTTTCTCCACACCTTGGCCAGCACTTGTTTTTTTGTGTTTTTGTTTTTGTTTTTTTAATATGGGCCATTTTCAGAGGTATGAAGTGGTATCTCATTGTGGTTTTGATTTGCATTTCCCTGATAAGTGATGTTGAACATGTTTTCATCTACTTGATCATATGCCTTGTTTCATACACCTCGTCTTCCTTATTACCTTGCTCTAAAGATATGTTTATGCTATTGTTGCTCAGAGGAGGGCAAGGCTGGTGTCACTTCTTTGATTTCTAAAAAAAATAGAAAGTGACAAGTGGTCGCCTGCAGGTGAGATGGGGGTGGGAATGAACTGCAAATGGCACAAGGGTCTATCTGAGGGGACAGAAGTATCCTCAGATGGGATTGTGATGGTGCTTGCATAACGATAGAGATGACTGGAATCATTGAATGTATATTATGAAAGAGTTAGTTTCATTTATGTTAGTCATGCCTTCATCTGATTTTTAAACCATTAAGTTTACATGCATTTTTCTTGGGGTTATTCAATGTAAACTGAAAGCATTTGCCTTTCTTTTCAGCAGTATAAGTACTAAATGCCAATATTGGTAGGCTCACTGTATGCGCTCTGGATTAATTTAAAAGCAACAAAGTAAAATGAGGCCACATCAAAAGTCTTTAGTTAACAACAAATTAAGGTTTTTGAGTGATTCACACAGTCCTTACTCTGTCTTAATCAGTTCCTTTTTAAGTCTAATTCCTTTCATGATATTTTCTTAATAGACATTAGTCTTAACCATCTGTTACTCTTTTTGGTTCCCATCAAAGCAGATGCTTTGCCAAGGAGTCATGTACAAGTAATTTATTGAAAGGAACAAAGAACATTGTTGAGAAAGAGGAATGGATACAGCAAAGAATATATATCCATAAAGCTTGCATATTAAGTCAGTAAACACAGTAATTGAACATTTTTCATCCTTTGGAGAAATTTTAGAAAAATGGTGCACAATATCCAAACCTCTTAATAATCCCAATTAAAGGGTGAAAGGCACACTGTATACCACATATCGCCAGCAAGAGCTGTCTCTGATGGGGATACTTCCTTATAAAATCTGCCACCAGACACTGAACATTTTAAGATCCGAGTGGCATTGGACGATAGCAGTCATGCAGTGGACATGGGAGGAATGTTGACAGCATTTACTACTCCATCAACTGCAGACTCAATTCTATCCACATTTTTCTTAAAAAGCGAGCTAAGTTCTATGCACATTCCAGTGTGTGACTACCATGCCTCTACAGAGTCACAGAAGAAAATCAAATAAGAGCACAACTTTTATTCTATAGAATTCACCACTCCATATTGTAGGGTCTTGGCAGGTATATCTTTAATGTGCAGAGATGAGAAATAAAGATCAAGTAAAATAATGACAAAAAGAAAGAAAGAAGTCAGGAAGGAATAAAGCAGCAAAATTAATGAAATAACTTCTCAGTGTTTTTTCTTTGTGGCATATTACCATGAATCACGTACACAAACTGCCTTTCAAAGCTAAATTGCTGTTTTGAAGTAGGAACCAACATCACGATTCTTATGAAATGTAAGATCGCAAAGTGAATGTCAGCTAAATGGGTTAGATTCAAATATAAATGAAAAGAAAAAAACCTCTGTTTCTTCTTTTGAATAAGGGGGTGAATTAGAGAAAACACCAGAAAGAAATATTTCCAAATTGAAAAACCTGTGCAGAACAAACACTGTCCTGATGTGGCCACTGTGTGATTTTCATCTTATTTCTCCTGGAAAGACAATGCACAATCAAATGATGGTAAAGAATCAAACACTGGAAAGGTTATTCGCTGGGGGAAGGATGTCAGCACCTGGTATAATAAGTGCTTTGAATCTCGAGTTAGAAAATTTTAGAACGGCTGCAAGAGGCTGAACAATGATGGGAAATTATGAATAGTATATGGGGAAGAAAAGTCAATGAGATCCTTGAAGGTGTTTAAGAGAATCTAATACAAAACCAAATAAGAGCAGGCATATGTGTTTGGAGAATAGTAAAATAAAACATGACTTTAGGGGCAAAACAAATCAGTATATTAAAATATGCATTATTTACCTTTGGGGGGTCACAGTGCCCTCCTGGCTCTGAGGTCAGGGATCCGTCAGTGACAAGAGGTCGCTCTGCTGAGCAGCCCCGCCAGGGCCCCCTTCACATCCTTGTTCCTCAGGCTGTAGATGAAGGGGTTTAGCATGGGGGTGACCGCTGTGTACATCACTGAAGCAATTAAGCTTCTTTGGGAAGTATGGGTCACAGCAGAAGAGAGGTAGACCCCCAGGGCTGTCCCGTAGAACAGGGAGACCACACAGACATGAGACCCGCAGGTGGAGAAGGCTTTGTACTTGCCACCAGTTGAGGACATCCTTATTAAAGAGGCGACAATTTGAGAATAAGAAAAGAGAATCCCGGTGAAAGGGAACATGCCCAGCAGGGCGGTGGCCACATACAAGCAGATGTTATTGATGAATGTGTCTGAACAGGCCACCTTGAGAATCTGAGCTAAATCACAGAAGAAATTTGGAATTTCTGTGCCTATGCAGAATGTCAGTCGCATCACCAACAGAACATGAAACATGGAGATCCATAAAATGATGCACCAGCACACCAAAACCAGGAGGCCACAGAGGCGTGGGTTCATGATGACCAAGTAGTGCAGGGGGTGACAGATGGCCACAAACCGGTCATAGGCCATCACGGTCAGGAGGAAGTTGTCCAGTCCAGCAAATAGCAAAAAGAAATACATCTGAGTTAGGCATCCTGTATAGGAGATGTCTTTGCTCTGTGCCTGGATGTTCACTAGTATCTTTGGGATGATAGTGGTGGTGAAGCAGATGTCAACAAAGGACAGGTTGGAGAGGAAGAAGTACATGGGGGTGTGCAGGTGGGGGTCTGTGACAATGGCCAGGATGATGAGCAGGTTCCCAAGCACAGTGACCAGGTACATGGACAGGAACAGCCCAAAGAGGAGGGGTTGCAGGGCAGGGTCATCAGAGAAACTCAGGAGCAGGAATTGTGAGGCTCTTGTGTGGTTTCCTGTTTCCATGTAGTTCCTGTGATTTCTGAGGAGAGAGGCAAAAGCACGTTCAATCAACAGTCAGTTGGCTCCTTAGCTAATCACATCTTTGGTCTTCACTCAGTCATTGCCAGCCATTTAAATTTATATAATTTGGGCTTTTTATGATTTATCAGACAATAGTCTCTCTTTTCATTAACTGCCCATCAATTATGCTCACTGGTTATAATTCTCCCATATGAGTCTATGTACCTCAACCATTTACTTCTTTTCTATAACCCTTCTGAAATCATGCAAACCGTTGAGGTCTTTTCCATGATCATCTCTGTGAGTCCATCATTCTGTAACTCTGTCACATGGTTTAGACCTGGGTTTTCAACCCCAAGAACCTTAATTATGTGACTTGATGATTCCTATTCATATGAGTGCTGTCTCTTGTAACTTATTATCTTCCTAAAGATGTGGTTTTCTCTTTTTGAAATTAAAAATGCCTCCATGTACAGTAGGAAATCAGTATTTAGTAACACTTACCATTACTATAACTGTTATGCTATTATTATTAATCTAATTGTTATCATTTTATGACAATTACTTTTGATATGTAACTCTCCTAAAGTCTAGCATAAAGTATGATTTAGCAAATGTGAGCTTGAGTCTGACTTCTGGGAATAGAATGTCAGTCTACTAACTATCTCTGTGCCCTGAAGAAAGTTATTTAACCTCACTTCACTGCATCCACGTCACCTCCATCCTACCCTACATTGTAAGATGATGAATGAATGAGTTGAGATGATCCATGTGGTTTTCCTGGCATGGTTCCTATGCCATAGAGTGAACTCTTGATAGATGTGAGCCTCTGTTGTTAACACCACAGTAACTCTGTCCTGTGTGGCTATCCCGTGTCAATATTCTATCGCGTGGAGCAGCCATTATGGATGACACAAAACAGGTGTGTTACCTGTTTGAAAGCCATGAAATTCCAATAATTCCTCTTTGGAGACTTCAGACAGGTGGATTCTTCCAAAACAAAGGGAAAAGTATCTGGACCACATAAATAAGAGAAGGAAACACAACCATTAAAGTAAAACACAGTATTGTGAGAGTCTATGCTTGAGGGTCCATCTTCCTGAGTGTGAATACTCTATCAAAGTCACTGGAGCTAAATGGAAAAAATTATGAATGACAGATCAATAAAATATTCAAAATTTCATAAATCAAAAAATCATCCTAAAAATTCAAAGGCCAATACAGGAATAGAAAATAAACGTTCACATCATGCATGATAGAAAATGGGTATGATAGTGTTAGTGTTTGTAGAATTATAATAAATAGAGAAAAATCAGTGAGGACTAATTTATTCTTGATGTGTTGGGCCAAAATTGGCTTCTGAGAAATATGATTGTCTTCACTGTGAAAAGGTTGAATAATTGTTATTCAGAGTAAATAAGGAAAAGGTGAATATTTTGGACTGAGAGAGCATAACTTGTCTTTGTCCTGTGCACTGTGGACTTGATTTGAGAGGCCAGTAATAGAAAGTAAAATTAAATAAAATGCATATGTATCTATTTTAAGAGAATAATACATCATGAACAAGAAATAACCATTCTAGCAACTGGAAGCTGTTTTAATATTACAACGTGTGTTAGCACAGCTCATCAGAAAAGAAGGTCAATTAGGAGAAATACTAACCAATAGTAAAATGCATCTGACAAAATATAGTCCATCAATGTGGTTAGCAGTCAGGGGGGAACCTCTCAACAGATGAGGAAGCTTAAAGACAGCTTCTAAACCCAGTAAAGAATGGTTGGTTTAAACTTGCAGTCAACAGCATAACATACCTTAAAACACTGAAATATGTGCACTAAGTGTATAAATAATCCAAGGCACACTGTACTACCTTTAACCATTTAATGTATTGAAAGAGATTGGTAGCATAGGAAAAGAAAATTGTCCTGAGTACCAAACATCTGGAAAAAGTCATAACAAAGATGAGATTATGAATACAAAGGTGAATGAGCAACACCTCGTCAAGACAGAACAGTTACACACTCAGCAGGTCAAGCCTGGAAAAATTAGTCAGAGAATAGAATAGAATAGAATAATGCCACCACAGTAGGAATGCACCAGAAAACCTCATCCGTGGCGTATCACTGCTGAATGATTGGCTGGGTGTAGGGAACCTGGTAGGAGCCTACAGTTAGGAGAAGGGGCACAGCACAGGTGAATACTTTTTGGAAAATCGCTCTTCATGGTGAGGTACTCTAGGATCCAGATAAAGAAGAAAACAACAAGAGCTAGCAAAGGCTGATGTCAATAGAAAGTGAGCACAGATACCCCTTTGTAGACTAAACAAATATGGGGCTGCCCCAGAGTCACACTCTGGAGGTCAAGTCCAGCATCTACTTTCTTTCCCTGCTTACTTCTCGTTACCCCTCACGGAGGCATCCTCACCCAGTGCCGGCTAATCCCGCAGCATCTGTCCTCTGTCCTATGCTTTCTGGAAGCCCAACTGTGCTTCCATCTGGTTGGAATCAGACTTTAAATTGGGGTAAAAGGAACACATTTAAATTTTTCAGTCTCAAGGGTTGGATTTTCAGAACTCTTAATTAAATAAATTGCCCCATTGTCTTTCCACCCTCTAAATAATTCTCCTCCCTTGGGTTCAAAATAGAAAGGACTGGAAAACTTTCAGCCAATGTCATGCCTGTGCAAGCAGCCACAGGGGGAAAGCGCTCAGTGTTCTGACTTGAAAGCTGTACAGATAATTCATGGTGATTGTAGGACTTTTACAGAAAGGAGGCAAAAGGCACAGTAGCCGGGCTGCCGCCGTTCCTGGACACCTCGGCCTGTGGGTGGACAACTTCTGGGCTTTTCTGTGTAGTTTTATCTTCAGGTAATTGTCATATTTCATACAGAACTTTATTCTGCCTTTTAAAACCTAGCGTTGCTCTCTCTGTTGTTAGAGGTGCTTTATGAACGTGCATCGTAGGTGCCCTTGGTGTTTTCCCAGCTGTTGGGCCCTTGCTGTCCTCAGCGTTGGGGCAGGACTCAAATGTTAGAAAGTGTCAAAAAAATTACAAGGTATTGCCTTAGGGAAAGCTCAATTTCTACAGGAACCAAACCCACATCAACTTCCTGTTACATTCTTCCCTTGAAGTCTTTTGGAAACTTTATAGCAATTGTCCACCTAGTAGAGGGAAGAGGGTCTACTTGAATAAAAGCAGAGATGTTGCTAGTTTTCATTTTCAAAGGACTCCCAAAATGAGGCCAGAAAGCTCTTGATACTTGCTGGCGATATGGATGCATTTGTTGTTGGGGGTGGGGGGGTCCTCTAAAGGAGTAGGGGCATAAATAATAATCCAGGTACGGTGGGTTGAAGGGTGAGTATTGGAGAACTGTAGGTGGCAAATATAAACCACCTGTAAAGTATGTCAGGGAAGGGAGAAGAGAGCAAAAGTGTAGTATAAAGGGAAGGTGAACTACAGAAGAGTTTTTAAAAACCAATAATTGAATATATGGGAACAGAAATAATTTCAAAAAGAATGATAGTGTTTAGCGTGGGCATTTGAATATACAAGAAATGTCTACCTAATTTACACCATGACGCGTGCGCTCTGAATCAGTAACAATCAATTGCCTATTTTTCCAATTCATGGGCCCTGCGGGTTCATAAATCAAGGGTTAGAAGCAGAAGCGGAGACGGCTTATATGGCTCCCAGTGAACCACTGGGGGAGCTTGTGCTTCCAGGCCCTGTGACTCTGGTCTCTGCGCATTTAGAAATCTTCACTCCTAAAGAGATGGCTCTTCTGGAGATGGGACAAACCCCACTGACCTTTAAGCTCTGCTGGGGCCTGGCACTTAAAGATGCCAAGCTGAGGCACCACCATCCTGGTCAAGATAACTGACCCTGATCATAAATGCCACGTGTCCCCCGGCCATGGGCATGCACTGATACCCGCCGTGCTCAAGTCTGTGACCGCGAGCTGCCCGAGGGCAGCACCGTGCTGGGAAGGGATGACTGACTGCCAGTTGCGCTGCCCATAGCAAGAAATCTGCGTGCTCTGCCCCCCGCCCCTGGAGTAAACTCTTAATTCTGAAGGAGAATTTGGACGATGAAGCTCAGCACTCATACAGTCCATCCACTGAGTTATTTGGATCAACACTAAAAATGTTGAGATAGAATTGACATTTACCTTATTAGTTTCAGCGTGCAACAAGCTGGCTTCATATATGTATCTGATGGGAAACAATCAGCCCAGTAAATCTAGTTTATATCCATGACAACATATGGCTACTTTTTTTTTTCTCATAGTGAGAAATATTTATATATATGTATACACATTTATATATTTCCATCATTGTTCATTTTGTACAATGTTTGATTTCTTCTCTCAGGTGTAGTCCCCATAAAATTATCTCCACCAAGACACCTGTGACCATCACCATAGTCTCTCGTGCTCTTCCCTCCCCTGTTCTGATGCCTCTCCCTCCACCTCTCCTGCTGTACGTCTCCAATTTATAGTTTGCCTGATAGTTTTGTCTTTTTTTCCCTGATACTTTGTTTGGTTCCCCCATATTTCCCCTATAAGTGAAACCATCTAACATTTTTCTCTTACCTTCTGACTTATTTCACCGAGCATAATCCCTTTCAGCTCCATCCGCATTACTGCAAATGGCATGAGCTTATCTTTCTTGATTGCTCAATAGTATTCCATTGTGTATACAGACCACCAATTTTTTTATCCAATCATCTGTTTTTTAGGCATTTAGGTTGTTTCCATATCTTTGCTATTGTAAATAGTGCAGGTTTCCTTTCCAATGAATGTATTTGAGAATTTTTAAGATCTACTCTCTTAGCAACTTTATCCAGTACAATATCCAGTACATTATACAGTGCATTATACAGTACATTATTATTATATGTAGCTACCATGTTGTACATTATGTCTCCGGGACATATTTATTTTATAACTGGAAGTTTGTATACCTTTGATTAGACTTTCCTACTTTTCTTTTCTCCCAAACCCAA